TCCCACCTTTTCCTGGAGCAGGACTGGGTGACCTAATCCTCCTCACCCTTCACACTGGAGAGGTTTCCTAGAACTTGCCAGGACAGAAGAAGAATGTCAAACAGACTTTTGAGCTGCAGTTTCCCAGTTACCTTTGAAATCTGTGTCCCTTCATAGCACTCCTTTCCCTAAAGCTGACATTGTGGGAGTAGTTGCTGTCCGCTGTGGGCAGCATTCGGAGGAGGAGAGGTTGGAGCTTTAGTTCTCAATGGAAGGAGGTATGTGATACAGAGCATTTACCGTTACTGGTCTCTCCTTGTTCCTTGCAAGGCTGACTGGCTCTATAGGAGCTGAGCAAATCCATGGGAATTAAGGGAGCAAACACTTTGATAGAGTAGTCAGGATTTTGCAAAAGGGTTACAATTGTAGTTTTTTGTTCCAAGAACCTCTGGTTTTAACTTTGATTACATTAAAATCTCTCTTCAGAAAAGGAAAGTGTTTTTTTCCTTATCTTTTGTGCTGTTGGGTTTTGGTTCCTCACCCAGAGGCCCATTTAAAGAAATCAGACTGGGACTGCATCTGGTCTGGTGCTTCTAACCATTCCCAGTACCTGTGGCAAGAGACATCTGTTGTACCTTTTAACAGCTGATAGGTCCAGCTCTCTTGTGCTCACACAGGTTCCTCATCCTAAAGTGTTTCTTAAATGCATCTAAACCCCTGCATCATTTTGCTGCTGGCTGCCCTTACCAGAATTGCTTTCCTGACAGAGTTGTGTAAAAATCTTAGCGGTGATGAGAGCCAGACTATTTGGTTAACAGTATTGTACTGAACATGATCAATACTTTATCTACTTGGAAATTCTCTCTTAAAACAGCAGAGCTGCCAAATGCTTCTGTAGATGGTTCAGTCACAGCCTATACTTTGATCTATGAAGAAATTTATGCATCTTGGCTTCAAGGAGTAAAGATATTCAAATCAAAGCTTGGGAGTTTAAGCTTGACTTATTTCATACTGGATTCTGCAATAAAAAGCTACTTCACCAGAAATTAGTTGATGAAGAAATAGTGAAGCACTGCATTATGTTGATAATGGGAAAATATGTCACTGACATCCGAGCAAAAAAATGGGTTGAGGGACACCTCTGTTTGACTGCATTAATAACAAAGGGAGGGGATAACTGGCACCAGGGAAACAGAAAACAGGCAGTTTGTGTAAAATCTTAGCACAGCTAACCCCTTGTAATGTTCAGGTAGACAGACAATGTATTGAATTCTTCATACATAGGTGGAACTAAGTCAATTGAGATCAATTTGTCTCTCTCCTTTTACCAATTAGAATTCAGTAACACCAAAACCCCAAACTTTATCTTCTCTTGGATTTTTTGTATCAAGCTAGCTAAGAAGCCCCTCTTCTAGGCAAAGACCTACCACTTCAACCCCTGCTTCATATCAGCACTTCATCATGTTGCAAAATTAATCTGTTTGCAAGAGGTGAAAGATGGAGAGCTCTTTCTCCATGTATTTCTCACTCTGAAACCAAAGATCACTTTTATCTATGTCAGATACATTTTGATAATCTGAGGCATGACAGTGCTGCCAGCTTGAAATAGTTCCTTTTATATGATATGAGCTGTTCATGATGCAATTTTGTCACTGACTCTGAAATCTCCTCCCTTTCTGTCTCTCCCAGCCTGGTACCATAAATAGAAACCTATTCCTTGCCCATCCCAAGTTCTTGGCTTGGAGCTGTATTTCTTGGCTTTCCTCAGTGTGTTGTTTACAATACTTAAACCTTGCCCCACTCTGTGGGAGGCCCAAGGACTAACTATGGGTCTGTGCTAGGCTCCAGCAAACCACGTTATTAAGAGTCTGGTTGCTTGCAGGAGAGGAACACCTAGGAATGGCATTTAGTTCGTGCCTGCATTTTACCAAAGCCATATGTGAGCTGTCTGACCCTTTTAAACTGGTGTTTTTCATGGCCACATGGATGTCAGCAGAAGGACTAGGTGGTCCAGTTAGGTAAAGGCTGCAGTCTGTTGCAGGGTAAAGGAAGTTCATAGGTCTGCTTCAATACTACCACATTATTAGACAGCAGAAACTTGGCCTGTTCAGCACTGGTTGCTTTTCAGTGTGTAGCTTGTCTTGAGTATTTTTGGTTAGCAGGAAGCACTGAGACTTGGCTTCAGAAACAAAGCTGCTGTAGAACTTGATACTGTTCCAATCGTGTCAGCAAAATAGGAAACCCACTTGCTGCTGTGTTATCAGTTTTGTTTCCTTGTATTCATTAAGGCAGAAATCCTCCCACTAAGAAGCCAGTTAAAGATCTAAAGGTCCAGTAGTGGTGTAATGTGATGTATATTTTGAAGGTGCAGTGGAAAATACCAATTATACCAGCACTCATTAGGTACTTGATGGTATACTTTCCACAGGTTGATGACCAGTGCCTGTTCTTTGGTACTCTTAAAAGCAAGCAAATAAAATGAGTCTGTCTGTAAAACAGCATCATAGATAATTTATTGGTGTTTAAGTCAAGGACTCAAGAGTGAAAATAAAGTGAAATATGTACCATATACAGGGATCTCTGTGGCTTTGTATTTGAGTTGTCCCTATGTGAAAAAATACACACAAGTCTACACCGACAAACTAGTCACTTTGGCCTGTGGCCAGCAACACTAAATCAATTTCAGGGCTGTATTTTCATTAATACATTCTTTTCTTTGATTAAGAGACATTGAAATTCAGAGTGTAGCAAGTTTTGTAGAAGCTCCCTGAACTATACATTATAAAGTAGCATAGTCAGCAAGATTTCCTTTTATTCAATTTTCCCCCACTGCTGGAAGAACGCTTAAGTTGTTACAGGAAGGGTAACCACTCTCAGGAAACAGCTTTGAAGGGCACCACAGGGAATAGGGTAAAGAGCTGGGAAGAACTGCTGTGCCTGAAAGATGGGCTCTTCCACTGAGGAAGTTGAGTGTACCAGAATTAAGATTTTATGTCATGCACTTACTGTGAAGGGCACAGGAACAGGATGCAGGTGTGGTGCATGCAGATGTCAAAATGATGGCCTGCAGTATAAAATAACTATCTAGGAATATCAGTTTTAAGAGAGAAGATGGCTCATCTAGAAGCCAGAAAAAATGCTTGATTTTATTCTGGCTGAGTGCATTTGACAGAACCTTATGAACTGCTATGAACTCTGTGTCCTTTCTACTGGAGAGCACCTTCAGGAAGGTGCCTGGAAAGAGTGTAGGCATAAAATGACTCTGTTGCAGGAGACTTACAGCCAAAATGCTTCTCACCTGTAATGCCAGTGCTGGCAACTACATGATTCCCATCAGGATCTCTTAACACACCAGCCAGCCATTAGGCTTTGGCTACAGACTCTTCTGACAGAGACTAAAATTGATGGGGTAGCTAGGGATATGTGCAAGATACATTATTAATCCAACTTAACTTCCTGATAATCCTTCTTTGTTTGTAATACCAATTACTCATCCACTGTACTTTAACTAAGAAGTAAATGTGTTATTTTAGCTAAGGTTAGTAACTCACAGCTGAGACTGATCTAGCCACAAATCCATACATAGCTTGCCCTTTTCTGGTACCATTTTAGGTAAGGGTGATTGTCACAAAGCTCATTGATGTCTTTCCGAAGCTGTACTGGCTTTCTCCACAAATTCTGATTATTCTTGGTGTGTTAACAGATATGCTAAGCTTAGTACAAATGCCAGTGTAATTCAGAGTACTTGGAACAAATGCAAGCTGAGAAAACAGTAAACTGCAAGAAGCAAAACAAGGAGGAGAAGAGAGAAAGCCCAGGAGCTCTCACACAAAGGCATCACTACCTCTGACCACTGGGTTAGCATGCTGTAGGATTCACTGAGCTTGGTTTTGGAAGAGGAAGAAAGGAGGTCACCCCCTTGTTAGAACTTTAGGAATAGCAGCATTCAGGTGTCCCAAGTTAATTCTTTGCCTAGTTAGTTTTCCACTAATGTCAGGTGTTGGTTGCAGGGGAGATGACTCTTGTCAGAAGCCATATGGGAAAGGCAACTCCTCATCATCACAGCATCTCCACAGTTCTAAATACTCTTTTTCTACATTCACAGCCTTACAAAACACAAACATTTGGAATAAGCCTGGTTGCTTACCTTTAGTCTAGTCTGAGTCATCATCACACAGTGCAGCTGCCCCTCTCACAGAACAGAGGTTCACAAATCATGGAATTGCTGCTTTCTTGCCTCACTGGACTGCAGCAACTCCTTTCCCCCTACAAAGGCCCAGACCACAGACTTCCTTTTCCCTGCTCCCTTTTATACCCCTCTGCAGGCCCACCACCCTCCCAGGTGTGAGACTGCCATGGTGAGTGCTGGTTTGTTAACCCTTCCATGGCCACCTGGCAGGAGGAGCCTGTCCTGCCACAAAGGCAGCTCTCCTAGAAAACCAGGGCTTTTAAAGAATTCATCAACAAATCTGGGGGTTTTGAGAGGTAATTTGATGGGGCCCTTGTGGAAAGCTGTCCTGAGTGTTACTAAATCAGCAAATGTGCAGCTCAGGCTGGGTGCACTGTGCTTGCCTTGCTTTCTGTGTCTTTCTGAATTCCTGACATGTCCAAGAGCCTTCATGTGCTCAATGTTTGTACCTCTCCGAGGTGTAGATTTTCACCAACATCCTTTCCTGTTGATTCCCGTAAGTAGTGCTCCAGCAGTGGTATGTGGAGTGGAAAAATGAATCAATCTGGGCGGTCCCCTTAATGGGTGATCTGTTTTTTAATTTGTGCAAAGGAATTTCTCCAAGGAAACTGTTTGCTTTCTTCCCAAACACTTTGTTACCTAACTCATAGTGGAACAAAACTGTCTCTATAGCTCATCTCAAAGTTGTTTCAACTTGCAGTCCAGTCCCCACATCCTCTGTGTGTTCAGCAGTCCCTGGAAAGCTCCACCCTCCCATTCAGTTAATAACCACGTTAACCCATGGCCTGATTTTCCCAGTCTCTGCTTTGCCTGCCCAGCAGCGCTTCCTTTCCCCTTGGCTCCCGGCCTTGCGAGCAGCAGCGATTGCTGTGTGTGGAGCCTTTGTGCTCAGCCCAGGACTTGTGGTGCCAAGCAGCCTCTTTGGGAAACACAGCATGAGTGTGGGGACAGTCCTCTTCCAGTCCAGCACCTATGGCAAGGAGGGCAGGCTGCTCTGCTGCCTCGGTGAGGGTGCCTCCGAGCCTGGCGTGCGCTTCACAGGTAGGATGCTTGGGGATGTAATCCTGTCCTGTCCCTCTCCTGTGTTTTTCCAAGTGCTTCAAGGAGGATGAAGTCCTTTAAAATCTGTCTTTGTCTTCTAGTACAAGACCAGGCATAGGAAGGTGTAAGATTGCCAGCTTTTATCAGGACTTCAGGATTAGTGAAATGCTTCTTTTTTATGAGCAGTTACACAGTATTTCAGAAATGGAGACCACTTCAGAACTTAATGTGATTCTGAAATATAAAATTTAGCATATTCTACCTCCTGCTCTGAGACCAAAGAGATTGGTAATTGGAGTGTTGGCAGCAAGGGTTGGGGACGAAACACCCCTTACATGGTGACTGGATAGGAAAGGGTTCATATCCGGAGAGAAGCAAATGTATTGTGGGAATAAAGAAAAGGAAGGAGATGGATGAAGCGTAACCTCCTTGTGTGACTGTGTATTACTTGTTCATTAAGTGATGATGTAAGTTTTCCATTGCATAGGAAACAAAAGTGATAATACAAGATTTATGGTTAGCCTTGAAAAGGAGATGATATAAAACAGAATTTCCCAGCTAATTTCCTGACTTTTGGTGTGGACAGAACTCACAACTATTTGGCTGGAGGGGCATCACTGGTGACACACTTTGGTTATCTCTGTGATGATCATGTTTCACTTCTGTGATGGATGGTGTAGATCTCACACCATATGGAACAGCATGGGCTGTTACGGAATTATAACCTGCAAGAAATACTTTTGTATCCTGGTAAAAACCCCTTTAGGTGTTGGGTAACCTTTACAGTTATTTAAGCAATCAAGTCACTTTAACATGAAAGTGAAGGAAGTTAGTGAGACGTGAACTCTTAAAAGCATTTCATTTTTAGGTAATGTGATTTTTAGGTAAGCACTGTAGCTAAGTGATTGAAGTTTCTCATCAAGCATTAACTTCTACTGGCTTTTTTGTACATCAAGAGGGGGTTAAGAACATGTGCCAGCCTCCCAGGCATTCCCAAGAAAGTGGTAGGAGCCCCACATCTGCTTTGACTCCCCACTGCCAGTCCAGCACAGCACATGTTTCCTTGTGGGCAGAACTCTTGGTGCTGAACAGGTGGCATTTCTGCTGGCTTCACCTGGCCTGCAGTGGGCTCAGCTGGGCACAGGGCTTGCTGCACCAGCTCTGGAGCTGGGCTGACCCTGGGCTGCTTCAGGTTATCCATGGGTGCATGGATAAATACTTTGTAGTGTCTGTGGAGCAGGGCTTGGTTGCTCAGTGCGTGAACTTTTCTTGCTGGAGAAAGAAACTTAAAGGATGCTTTGATTTAGAATAAATGTTATATTTTCGTTTAAAGCCTTTCATTGGTTGGCAGATAAGTAACTGAAAGGAAGAGGGTAATAACACTGTTTTTGGAGCTGAAAGGTTTTTGGAAACTGCCTGCTTTTGTGTTTGCCCTTTAGCAGAGATGTGAAAGTCAGGGTTCTCATACAGCACATTTGACTTTTTTAAAGCATTGAAACACTCATAACACAAATCACTTTAAATACGTAAAGAATGTATTATTTAATTAAATACATATTTTTACTCCATAAAGAGAGCTGGATTTAGGAACTGGTGTTCTTTCATGGAGCTTAGTATGCACACATCCAGCCCCAGGAAAATACCGTGGGATGTTGGCAGCCATGCTGTGATGTAGGTGGCTGAGCATTGGGATTTCTTATTTTCCATGATAGTATCCAGTCTGATGGGTTAATATCTTGTAAAACTAATTGCAGTTGAGAGTTAGGAATAAGAAGTATATGTAAATATTACATCTGCAGGCAGTGCAATCAAGGAACTGGCATTTTGGTGCCCTAGTCTGTGGTCTCTTTTTTGTGCTAGGAGAACCTTGACAGAAGGCTACTTTTAGGTTATTAAGTAATTGCAAGATGAGCAGGTTATGCAAGCAGTAGAACTCTGAATAATTACCAGAAATGCAGTAAAAGTCACTTAACTACATTTAAAATGGAAACAGAACAAAAGGCAACCTCTTACTTTCTCATATACCTACAATGCAGTTTAAAAAATTACGTTATAGGCTGGAAATTCCCTTAGTCCTTGTTTCCCAGGCTTGACTCTGTCCTGTGACACAGACTTGGCATGTTACTGTGCCTGTTACATGGCACAGGCTTCTTCCTGCTTTGTGTCTCACTGACTTCCCAGTTTTCCTGTCCTGTGCTGCATTTGAGCTTTGTTCCTTTTTCAAGTGCTTTATAGACCAGCTCTTGATTATGAGTGTAAATCTCAGGGGCCTGTGGGGAAAGGGGTAGGAGTAGCCACACACACGTTCTCTGGCATTGTCTGCTTTGAAACATCCCAAACCTGACTTCTCAGCCCCTCAGAAATGTGCTAAACCAATGACTGTAAAGCAAAGAGAGCCTCTGATGTTTTTAGAGAGAACTTTTTATATTTAGTGCATTTAATGAAATCTCTTTGCTGTATACATTGCTCTAAGTAAGTTCAACTAGAGAATTCAGAAATAGATATTGGGACAGGGACTTAGATATCACCATCAGACAAAAGGTATATAACTTTACACCTTCATATGTTTTTGTTCCCTTGAGCAGCCCCCATGTATGAAACCACACCATCACTCTTTTTCTTGTCTTAATATTGAAATTTACTCTACTACATATTTCTGGAAAACCTCTCCATGAGTTGGAAAGCCAGTGATGGTCTTGACATAGCACTAGCATGAAGCATTCACAGTTTTGTTTCTTAATACAGTTCCTCCTAAAACCCTATGGATTTAGATTGGTTTTAATCATCACAAGAACTGTAGGGACTTTTTTCTTTTGTTGCTAAAACGTGTCTGATTCCTCCCCCCACTCCCTTGTAGTGACAAGTGCCTCAGTTCTCCATTGAAACAGCAAAACAGATATGCTGCTGCTAAACACCCAGCATCACCTTTACTGCCTTCTGTCCCTGTCAGTTTTCCACCTCTGTATACACAGTCTTGAAATGTATTACAGATCACTGTCATTCCTACATTAATACTGAACCACTTACTATCCCAATTTATTAATCTCATTTGTGACATAATTCAGTTTTACCTGTATTTGTAATGTTGGTTTCTGATCCAGGCTATGTCCATCACAGAAACAATAAGGACAATACATAAAATGTTGTGATTGAAAGGGTTCCTTCACTACTTCATGTAATTTTAAAAAGTGCTTTTAATTGTGCACTTATTTTTCATCTGTGAATGTTTAAACAATTTCAAATAGAGGTATAGATGAAGTATATATAGTATAGTAAATATTAAATAGAAATTTTATATACATAGGTTGCTACTTGGCTTACAGCCAGGAGTTGGACTCGATGATCCTTGTGGGTCCCTCCCAACTCATTATATTTCCTGCTTCCATAATTAGAATTGTACATAAAGTGATTGCCTCTCCTGTCCTTTCCTCAGAGGCCCTGCACCGCCCCTACGGTTGCGACGTGGAACCCCAGGCACTGAACGAAGCCATCAGATGGAGCTCCAAGGAGAACCTGCTTGGAGCCACTGAGAGCGATCCCAATCTCTTTGTTGCACTTTACGATTTTGTAGCAAGTGGTGACAACACACTCAGCATCACCAAAGGTAAGACTGGCAGCACAGAGCAGCTGTGGGCTTGAAAACTTAGCAACAGAAATCAGGAAATGGAATCCTTGCCTGGATAGGAATGAGAATAATGCACGTAGAGAATGGGAATAGTGCACTTAGAGAAGGTGGTTCCCTACAGTGGTGGTGGTGCAGACAGCCTGTCCCTCGTGGTGCTGGAGGGACACCTGCCGGGCAGTTCTGCTGGGACAGGCACAGTCCAGCCCACTCCTGTGCCAGGCTCCCCACATCACTGGCCCTGTGAGATACCTGATGTAGGAAGGACAGAGGGAAATGGGTGCATCATAGATCATAGATGGTAACAGAACTTGACAATTTCAACTGGGGGCAGAATCAAGAATTAATCTTGCACAGTCACTTTATGATTCTGGTCAGAACTGTTAAGTCATATGTCATTTTAGGCTTCAAGGAAACAAATCTCACCTCCAAGGGATGGTGCCTGAAGCTTTACACATTCAGTTATCTGTGACTCCAAATTATCCCTCCAAGAAAACAAAGTCTTCCTAGTCTAATAAGCTGGAGTATAAGAAACTTTTTGAATTCATCTCACTACACTGAATCAGTGAACAGTATCCTAGGCCTTTGCTTCATAAATACTTTATATGTAGCAGTTTAATTATAAGATGATTTCTATTGTTAAGCTACAAACCCAGGCTCAGCTGATGCCGAGTTTCTCCCTCAAGGAGACACAACAGCTTGCACTGCGCTTATTTTGTTTTTTTCTTTCTGGTCACAGGTGAGAAGTTGCGAGTCCTGGGTTACAATCAGAATGGTGAATGGAGTGAGGTACGTTCGAAGAATGGGCAGGGCTGGGTACCAAGCAACTACATCACTCCAGTGAACAGCCTGGAGAAGCACTCCTGGTACCATGGGCCAGTGTCCCGCAGTGCAGCAGAGTATCTGCTGAGCAGCCTCATCAACGGCAGCTTCCTGGTGCGGGAAAGCGAGAGCAGCCCAGGGCAGCTGTCCATCTCGCTCAGGTACGAAGGACGTGTTTACCACTACAGGATCAACACCACCTCGGATGGGAAGGTAAGGACCTCTGGATAATGCTGTGGGGAGAGGAGATGAAGATATTAATTAAGAGGTGGTGCAGAATCTCAAATTGCAAATCCAGTATTAATATAAAAGAAGAGCATGTGTGCCAAGGGTTTGGTGGTAATTCCCCAGACAGCACTTTGGAAAAGGGCAGACAGTTCTTGTCTAGGCTGAAAGTGGCTGGGTAGCAAGGCAGCTGTGGTTGGAGGTAGTGATAGCCTTCCACTGATCCCCTTAGAAGCAGCAGAGCTTTGGTAAGTCGGCATTTTTAGCCAAGATCAAGTAGTGGCATGTTGTGTTGAGAGACCTAAGAATTCCAGTTTCTACTCCTGTAAAGCACGAGGCAGGAGACAGCACAGCTCTTAAGTGCTGGCTTATCTGTAGCTATCTTCTGCAGGTGAAAATCCCACAGATTAATAGTTATTTACCCAACAAGAAGAGAACAGATATTCTAAAATCCTGATTTTCTCATTTTTTAAAAATAAAAATTAGAATGTACCTGTTTTCCAGCATCACTGAAAACTTCCAGCTGCCTTCATTTAAGCAGACTCCTGTTTCTTGCTTACCAGGTCTATGTGACAGCAGAAAGCCGTTTCAGCACCCTGGCAGAGCTCGTGCACCATCACTCAACAGTGGCAGATGGCCTGGTGACAACTCTGCATTACCCAGCACCCAAGTGCAATAAGCCCACCGTGTATGGAGTGTCCCCCATCCATGACAAGTGGGAGATGGAGCGCACCGACATCACCATGAAGCACAAGCTCGGGGGAGGGCAGTATGGAGAGGTCTATGTGGGGGTCTGGAAGAAATACAATCTCACAGTGGCTGTGAAAACGTTAAAGGTGAGTTTTCACATTTCAGGCACTGTTTATTTGGTCACCATTTATGACGTGGGTAAGGAAATTTCAATGTTCTCAGCTACACCTCATGATATGAACATCAGAAAATGGAGTGTGCTGATCTGCATAAAATCCGTGCTCAAGAGCTTTTGATCTGCAAGGTGACCCTATCAAACTTATACCAGTGCATGTGGCTTAGAGACAAACTGTGATTTTGGCCCAAAAATTGGAGCTGCATGTCCAAGTCAGACCAGTAGAAATGGTTACAAACACAGCTTCCCTTCCTCCAGAGGAGCTGTGGAGGCTTTAAGAAATCGAAGGTGTAGAAAATACCTTCTATAAGCTGTTCTCCACTCCTGAAAGAATTCAGCCTCTCCATTTCTCTTCCTTTTCAAAACCTCATGTTTGTTTCAACATTAACAACTACAATTCTAAGTGCCCCATGAATAACTTAATTTTTATAGCTATACAGGGGAACTAAGTGATCCTGAGAGTCTTCCTCTCACCAGCCACAACAGCTACCAAATGAGCAAGCCTGGCTCTGCCAGGGTACTGCAGATCAGTCTGCAGGACAGCCAGGCAGCTGTTCAGGGCTTTTAATCACAAAATGTACAGTTTGCTTTGGTAAAAGCCAAAACAGCAGAATGGAGACAAAGATGTCATCATTTATATTCAACCTGGATGTGTGGTGTTAACCAGACCTTGGTCACGAAGATAAATGTTCCTTTGTTTTGCCTCTCTGTCTGTCTAGGAAGATACCATGGAGGTGGAAGAGTTCTTGAAAGAGGCTGCTGTGATGAAGGAGATCAAGCACCCAAATCTAGTGCAGTTGTTAGGTCAGTGAAATGTCTTGCTCTTTGTGTTCTTACTTAGTCTTCATTTTGGCAGAAACTTGCCTGGTTTAAATGCAGTGGCAGCTTTTCTGTATTTATATAACTTTACAAATCAGGTCATGTTATGGGGTGGTATTTTTGACAGCTTTATGTAATACTGGAGCTAAGAGACACTAATTTTAAATAAAACATCAAATACAGTCACATTAGTAGATAACTTTGCTGTTGAGGCACGACTGTTATATAAAAGTTTGCAGTATCATCCTCCTGCTGGTTCATGTCCTTGGCCTTAAACACTCTCCAGGGTTCAGGGATCAGGTTCAGATCCCTTCTCTGCTCTGTTAAATCATATTTGCAAAATAATTTTCTGTGACTTATTTTTCTGAGAGAACAGGAAAAAAATCGTAAGAAAATTCAAAGTGAAAGGAAAAATTCTGTTGGAAGCACAACAAATACCATTGTCCATACTTCTCAAATCAGAGACATTTACAGAAAAGGCTGCATTGAAGAAAACAAATTAGCCCATAATTAGGCAGAAGACACCAGATTGCTGCTGCTGTGAGGAACTCTGTGTATCACTAAATAAGTACATGAGATCAAACAACTCAGGACTGGAAAAAATCCACAGGCTTTACATCTTGGCTCTGCCCTGTTGTCTCACTGGCAGATGCATGATATGATGATCATTATTAAATAGTTTGCATAGCTGTTAAATCTACATGCACAAAGATTCTTAAGGAGACACCCTAAACCTTCACTAGTGTTTAATTGCCTCTGGATCTCTGGTACTTTCAGGAGCAGAGCTGTCACGTCAAGCCTGGGATAAAAGGAGAAATGTGAAGAATGTGAAAGCTTTTTACTAATGGCAACTGTTCTGTTGTCACCCATTTTTAAAAAAGGGCACAGATGAAGTTTGTGCCAGCCCTGTGTGGTTCCAGAGATTTGTCATCAGAGAGCTGCATTTTTGCTCTTTCTGATGCACAGTGCAGTCGTGCTTTACTCCTGAATGCGTAAAGAGCTACAGGGGGGATCCCAGAGCTGTGACAAGAGTATCCTGTTGCCCTCCTCCTCCGCCTTTACATGCTTTGTACAGTGACTGTAGCAAGGAGTCATCCCAGGAATGTGTGAGAATGCTGCTCTAGGAGCAGGTCCCACCATGCTGATTCCTTACCCAGCACGTGGGAGTGCTTCACATTACTCAGTAGTGACATTTCAGTCTGGAAATCTTGCCAGCTGACAGGTACCCACTTCCAGTTGGCCACTCCTCAGCTTCATGAAGGCAGAGAGGGGAAGAAAAGCAAATTTTATGTTCATAATTCTCCTTTTTCATTCTGTAATCTTTCAAAGAACAGAACAACTGCTTCTGTTCTATATATAACGTATATTATATAGGAATAGTGCTGCTTTCTTAGACATGTTTCTCTCTACCCATAAAATGGATGGACAGGAAAACAGACAGAAGCCCTGAGTTTTAAGTTGGGCTGTACTGACCTGGGTCTGTACATGGAAATCTTCACTTTTCCAGAGGAACACTCAGCAGTACAAAATGTAATAAATGGCTGTTAAACCAGGAATAGTAGTGAGAAAGGGGAGCTTTATTCACATGCAGCCTGCTCCTCCCTGGCAGGTGTGTGCACCCTGGAGCCCCCCTTTTACATCGTGACGGAGTACATGCCCTACGGGAACCTGCTGGACTACCTCCGGGAGTGCAACCGCGAGGAGGTCAGTGCTGTTGTGCTGCTCTACATGGCCACGCAGATCTCCTCTGCCATGGAGTACCTGGAGAAGAAGAACTTCATCCACAGGTGGGTGAAGTCATGTTGAGCTGGTACAGATTCAGATTGCAATGATAAACAGGCCACCAGAATGATGGGCCAGGAATTTGGGGAGGTTTCTTCCACAGTTGGGATTCACGCTGGCTTATCCATTGGCTGTGTTGGCTTCAGTACTGTCTTGGAATACTTTCTCCTCAGGACTTTCATAGCAATCTTGTGCCCAACTGTCTGGCAACACCTGTACCCCTGTGTGCAGACAGTGTCCACCCAAAATCCTGTTTAAATGCAGATAAAGCCATGCCATAAACCTGTTACCAGTGTGTGATGAGCTGCTGATCCCATCCTATCCTCAGGAAACATACACTTGGCACCATAACAGACATCATTACTGAAAACTGAATAGAATTTAAAGAATTAATCCTAATCCTGATTTACCTCATTGCTCCTAAGAATAAGTCCACTCAGTTTCTGACACTGTTCAGGGCAAAGCTCACCTTGCCTCTGCCTGCTGCATACAAAGAGCACTTCCTGATCCAGGAGAGTGGGGTTCCAAAACTACCTTCAAAAGCCCTGCTCCTGCTGCAGTGGTGTCCTTTGTTCCTTTGTACAGGGACCTGGCAGCACGGAACTGCTTAGTTGGAGAAAACCACGTGGTGAAGGTGGCTGACTTTGGCTTAAGTCGACTCATGACTGGTGATACCTACACAGCCCATGCTGGGGCCAAGTTCCCAATCAAATGGACAGCTCCCGAGAGCCTGGCCTACAACACCTTTTCAATCAAATCAGATGTGTGGGGTAAGGAAACTCACCTTCAGTGACCTTTTCTTGTTCATTTTGGCTTTTTATGCCAGCCCAGACAATAACTTGCTTTTTGGCCTAGGCAGAAACCTTTGTGTCACATGCCAGCCCAGAACTTCATGAATCAATAGCATTTTTAGCATGTGATGTTTCCACCTAGACTGGCCAGAAATACCTGCAAGGAAACAATGCTGTCTCAAGCTGCAGTGAAGGCCACAGAATAATGAACAACACAAGGGCAGACTTATGACCAGGAATTTTGTTTTCCTCTTTTTGCAGCCTTTGGGGTGCTGTTATGGGAAATTGCCACCTATGGGATGTCACCATACCCAGGCATTGACCTCTCTCAGGTGTATGATCTGCTGGAAAAGGGCTATCGGATGGAGCAGCCAGAGGGGTGCCCTCCCAAGGTGTATGAACTGATGAGGGCATGTGAGTATCTTCTTCCAGTTTTGGGGACAAAGCCTGGGAAGGTGGGAGGAATCTGTAATTAACAGCCTGTCTCCAGCAATACCTGATCCCCAGCATGTCAGAGTCAGGGTGGGCTTCAGTTATGAAACAAAGAGGGTGGGGAATGATGAAGGATATTACTGCTTAAAAAGCCTTAAGAAAGTTGACAAAAGCTCAAAAGCTGGGACTTCATGTGATCCTAATGCAAAACAAGCAGCATGCCAGTCACTTTCCAGACCCTATGGTGATACCAGCAGACAGTGCTTCCAGAATATGTTCCTCTAGTGCAGGTTTCTAACTACAGAAACTATACTTTTCATCATGATATTCTTGTATAACTTTCCAAGCCCCATTTAGGATCAAGGCACTCTCCTCCTCTTTCCACCACAGGGTCCACACATCCTTATTTTGGAAGGGTCAGCCTGAATTTCAGTATTTAAGAGCATGTAAACAGGATGGTGCCTGGAGCTTTGCACACTCAATTATCTGTGACTGGGCTAGATGTGTTCAGTCCAAAGAGCCAAAATAGCAAATATAGAATTGTCCTTTGCCCAGAAAATTCAAAAAGGGGGATAGGGAAATTAGACTGTAGAGTTGGCAGAGAGCTGGGATTTATAGAATTGGTTCTTCCCAAGATTTGTTTGTGAGATACAGTAGGGTGACTGACTGCTGCCATGAATGTGGCCAGGCATTCACATACTTGTGAATGATTAAAGCCTGTTCAACAGTTAGGTCAGAGTCTGACTACTTTCATGTCCTTGGACAGAAGAAACATTCATCTCCCTATTTTGGGCTCTAAGACTTACTTTGCTTTCTGGCATTGCAGGCTGGAAGTGGAACCCACCAGACCGACCTTCCTTTGCTGAGACCCACCAGGCTTTTGAAACCATGTTCCACGACTCGAGCATCTCAGAGGGTGAGAGCTGCTGTTGTTTTGTTCCTGAAACAACACTGGGGATTATCCCCAGCGTGCTGTGTCTCATGGATGGGCCCTTAAGGCTCATCTGCTGGCAGTGAGGTTGAAATGCAGCTCCATCTCTTATTCTTTTAGCCATAATTGGGATAAATGTTTTCTTACTTGTTCCACAAATACTGAATAAATTTCAGACACATTCCAATGCAGGGAACAGTGTCATTTAATTTGAACACTAAGATGCCAAAGAGCTGATTTAAAGAATGTTGTTTCCTCTGTCAGAGGAAATCTCATTTTCCAGGCTGAAGAGTGAGGAATAGTAAGTGATGAAGGGAGAGAAACATGTATGCATATCACAGTCCCTTGCTGACTGCAGCAATTAGGTCATGAAATATTATTCTACCAGCCTCTACTTTTAAAAAAGTGTGCTTTAATCTCTGGATTTTCTGCTTAGCTACTTCTAGGAGCAAATCTCTGCAGCTCAAGTCTGAAATATAATCTACCAGGAGGTAAATACTGGTGAGGAATGTGATACTATTCAGCAGACAAGCAGAAGTGTCAGAGCATTCTGCTCAGTTTTAAAATTAAATATGCAACTGATCCACCAACTTCCCTACTACAGAGAAAATACACCAGATGGAATTTTACCAGTGAGGATCTGTAATAGGCACATCCAGTGGCCATACAAATGCCAAGTTGGGTGTGGCCAGGAGGTTGTGGGGGTTTTTCTGTGTTTGTTTTCTTTTGGTTGACCTATTGTTGACATGCAGTCTTCATTTCTTTATCTAGGGGATTGCAGTGCTTTGCCTCAAGCAAAGCAACTTAGATCCAGATCCAGGCAGGACACAACTTTGGGGGTGCATCAGTAGGAGGCACCTTGATTAAAAACAGACAAATGCATCCAGTGCTGCCTTTAGGTCTTCAGCAGCCTTTAATAGACCCCCTGTACATATCCTATCACTGGATCCTACCACTTTTTTTTGGACTGAATTTATAAAGATGTTAATGAGTTTGAAATCATTATGAAAAACATCTGACCCTGTATACCTCTAGACTTGAACAAAGACTAAATCCATAAATTATGTCTTTCTCAGTCATGGATCTCTTCCTGCTAGTCTGTGTTTGCAGTAAAGACCCAGGGTTGTTTGGGGTTTTTTTTTCCCTCTTCCTTTCTGGTCTCTGTTTTGACTATTCCCTTTTCTTCCTTACAGAGGTAGCAGAGGAGCTTGGAAGAACAGCCTCATCCTCATCCATAGTTCCTTACCTGCCCCGCTTGCCCATGCTTCCCTCCAAGACGAGAACGCTGAAGAAGCAGGCAGAGAACAAGGAGAACATTGAAGGAGCACAGGACACCGTGGAGCACTCGGCATCCAGCTCAGCACCAGGTGTGGGCACAGAGAAGCAGTGAGGCCCCGTGCTCTGGGTGCAAATTCCCAGAGAAACAAAGAACAACATGACACAGGCATGCTTTGTGCTGCTGGGTCAGTTATTTAACAGCAAATAGAAAACACCCTAGTTTTTTCAATGTTCTTTTAGTAAATCCCATTTTATTTTTCCTTTGAAATTCAGTTTTGCTGCTCCTTTTTAAATGATAGCTTCAAAACTAAAGTTAACAGCGCAGCAAGAGATTCTTTCCTATACCTAGGGTATTTGGAAAGGAGCAGAAAATTACTGGAAGGGAGCAATAAACTGAAAGGAGTAACTCTTTCCTGATCTCTCTGCAAAGCGGCCTTCTCAGTATTGACAACACACAAGTCACATGCAGAAATGGGAAAAAGTAAAGAAAAAATAAAATACCAGTGCTCGCTTCTTCCCTCATTCTATCTCTGCAGCACCTGGGCAGGTAGATACACCAGGTCCATAAAACCCAGTGCAGGGCAGGGAGGTGGAAATGGAAATAGATTGTCCAGATTGACCCCTGTTTCTTCTGCCCAGGTTTCATCAGAAGCACACAGCCAACAGGCGGGTCCCCCGCACTGCCCCGCAAGCAGAGGGACAAGTCCCCCAGCAGCCTCCTGGAGGATGCCAAAGAGACCACGTTCACCAGGGACAGGAAAGGGGGCTTCTTCAGCTCCTTCATGAAGAAGAGGAATGCTCCCACGCCTCCCAAGCGCAGCAGTTCCTTTCGGGAGATGGAGAACCAGCCCCATAAGAAATACGAGCTGACGGGTAACTTTTCCTCTGTTGCTTCCCTGCAGCACGTGGACGGGTTCTCCTTCGCTCCCACGCAGCAGGACACGAGCCTGGCACCCCCCAAGTGCTACGGAGGGAGCTTTGTGCAGAGGACCTTCTACAGCGAGGAGGGCTCTGGGCCCAGCAGTGCTGGGGGTGTGAGCACTGGTGGAGGGTGGTCGGGCATCACTGGCTTCTTTACGCCACGCTTGATTAAAAAGACGCTGGGTTTACGAGCAGGAAAACCCACTGGCAATGAAGAAGCTTCAAAGCCTTTTCCAAGGTCAAACTCTACATCTTCCATGTCCTCAGGGCTTCCAGAGCAGGATAGGATGGCAATGACCCTTCCCAGAAATTCCCAGAGGTCAAAAATTCAGCTGGAACGGACTGTGTCCACCTCCTCCCAGCCCGATGAGAGCACAGGGAGGGCCAGTGACCTGATACCCAAAAGGTTTGATGAAGGCCCTGCTTTGACCAGAGAGAGACCAAAAGCAAAACTCTTGCCAAGGGGTGCCACTGCACTCCCTTTCCGAACTCCCTCCGCATCGGAAGAAAAGGAGGGTCCAGGGCTAGTGGCTGCTCCTAAGGGCAAAGAAAAAAACAGTGGCTCACGACAAGGGGCCCTTGAGGATGGCGAGAGGCCAGGGTGGTCATCTCCGGTAAAGGCTGCAGCAATACTTCCAACCACTCACAACCACAAAGTGCCAGTCCTAATCTCACCCACTCTAAAACACACTCCAGCAGACGTGCAGCTCATTGGCACAGACTCTCAGGGTAATAAATTTAAGCTCTTATCTGAGCATCAGGTCACTTCTTCCGGCGACAGGGACCGGCCCAGACGGGTAAAACCAAAGTGTGCTCCACCTCCACCACCGGTGATGCGGCTCCTCCAGCAGCCAGCTGCCTGCTCGGATGCAGCAGAAGAGCTGAGCAGCGGGGCGGGAGCGCAGCACGGACTGGAATCCAGCGAAGGGAGTAAGAAGGCAGCAGCAGCACCTGTTGGTGGAAAATCTGGGAGGCCCGTGATGCCTCCGCCCCAAGTGCCTCTGTCATCGTCTTCCACCTCCCCAGTGAAAATGGCCAATGGCACGGCCGGCGCCAAGGTGGCGCTGAGAAAGACCAAACAGGCAGCCGAGAAGATCCCCGCAGACAAGATCAGCAAGGAGGCGCTGCTGGAGTGCGCGGATCTCCTCTCGAGCGCCATCGCCGAGCCCACGCCCAACAGCCAGCTGGTGGACACGGGGCACCAGCTGCTGGATTACTGCTCAGGCTACGTGGACTGCATCCCCCACACGCGCAACAAATTTGCCTTCCGGGAAGCCGTGAGCAAACTGGAACTCAGCCTGCAGGAGCTGCAGGTGTCCTCGACAGCTGCTGGCGTCCATGGGGCAAACCCCGTCCTTAATAACTTATTGTCATGTGTCCAAGAAATCAGTGATGTGGTGCAAAGGTAGCTACTGTCAATCTGGGTAAGAGAAACACACACGGGGAGGGCGGGACTGTTTTTCTGTACTGATGCTTTCAAAAGGAAAGACTGATACTTGAGTATGTGAAGTACCTCAGATCACTGAGTTCTCCTCACGTTTACAGGTTCATCTCAAAAAATTGGGGATGGAGAGGGTAGATTAAAGCTGGAAGGGGCAGAACATCAAGGATCTGTCCCTACCTAGTCAGGCTGATCTGCTTGGTATGGCAAGAGGAAGAAAGTTCCTTCTCCTCCCCTGGAGAGGCAGGAGAACCAATGGCAGGTTCTCCCTCTGGGCAGGACGGTGGTGACAGCCAGAGTCGTGGGGTGGCTGCAGCTGCCTGGCTGCACAGATCCTGCCCTGGCTGCACTCACCTGTGCTTCGCTGTCCTGACAAGGCCAAGGAAAGGCACTGGGGCTCTGCTGGTACCAACGGCAGAGCAGCCGGAGCGGCTCCGGAGGGGAGTCGTGTGCAGCTGGGGGAAAGGTCTAATGCACTGACAGTATTCAGAGCTGCTGGAGGTGGATGCACTGGTCTGCATGGCTTGACTTCCACAGCGCTGTTGCTGCTGTAATGAGAACTGCAAGATTAGTTAATATATGAAACTGTCCCTTTTCCCTCCTGTCCACCTCATCCACCACGTTCTCATCGTCATTGTATTGGAAGCATCAGGGATGCTGGGCAGGCTTACCACTGGAATTCCCTCTTCCCACCACACAGCCTTCACTCAGCTGATACCTATTTCTAGTGGTCTAGCACAGGTGCTGCTTGATGGTCATTTTTGAGTAGTTTGGGGCTCTTGCACAACTTGCCAGTGTTGTTGTTGGGGTGGGTGGGTTTTTTTTAAGCTCTAGATTGTTTTTAACTTGTTACCAGGTTGACTCCCCGGTTCAGTTTGATCACCGTGAGGACCCATGGTAGGTAAGGCAGAGCCTCTGCTCCCCCTGGCTGTTCTCCACACAGTCTCAGCACTGCAGGGCCAGCTGGAGAACCAGAAAGTACAGCCCAGCCTGCCCACCAGATGTCCTTACTGCTGCAGGATTCCCTGGACCTGTCCCTAACCTTCACACTGCCAGATTCCTGGGATTTGTTCTGATGCTTACTTGTCTCACAGGCTTCCAGCTTTCCTGCATCCCAAGGTGATAGAGTATGGCAGCACAGAGGGAAACACCACAGGCATCTCCATGTATTTATTCCTGTATTTTAAAGGCTAGACCAGAATCCTTCGCTGTGCTGTAGGGCACAACCTGTGCACTCCTCTGCCTGAGGCGTGGCAACAAAAGCTGTGGCTCTACCTTGAAGGGCTCCCAATGTGTCTCTAATGCCTTCTAACAACCCCAGAATGAGAGCAGTGAGTGGCTGGCATTGTCATCCTTGGTCCTGGTGCTGTTGGCAGGCTGCTGTGGCCTCAAAAAGCTTGTCTGTGTCTACACACAACTCCCCAGGGTGTAAATGTACTGGCAAGTCGGAAGAGCTCAGTTGCTGGTTTGTGAGAGGAAAGGAAACAGGCCTGAAACCTGGCTCCAAATACACCTTACCTGCATGCTGATGCTCACGTCACACTGCTGGTGATTGAGGATCTTGCTTGCTTTGCACCTTAAGTTTTTGTTAGTTTCTTTTTTTTTTTTTTTTTTCAAGTGTGGCTGTGCTGCTTTTAGTCTGAGCATTTAGAGTGGAACTGTGGCACAGGTGTGACTTTAGAAGATGGGCACTTCTGTTTCTGTCTAGAAGCACATGTTGGTGTTTGGAAGCAGGCTTGGTGTCTCAGCAAGTGTCCCTGTTTTTTCCACAGAGCATAGTGAGACAGGCCTGAAAAAATCTTTAGAAATGGGTTGGTATCTGAGAATCCTCATTTCATTACTGGTCTGAGCTAAGCAAAGTTATTTCAGGGTGCTTGGAGGCTGAGCAGAGGAGCAGCATGTGAGGTACAATGGACCAGTGAAGTGGTGAGGGGGAGAAAGAACCAAGCAATCCCTTGTGCTGCACATCCTGATCCCCTGCAGCCCTCGGGGCTGTCCCCAGGCACTTCCACAGGCAGAGTACCAACCCCTTATCTCCTAGACTTTACTGAAGGCTTTTGTGGTTTACCTTATCTCTCTCAGTCATCTCCATGGAAGGTGTGCATCCAAACTAACTGCCTTTGGAAAGGTGACCTGCAAAGGGAAGGTGGCTTGAGGCATTGCTTCACATGGTCTGTCAAACAATCAGAAGGATTTAGAAGGTGGGGGGGGCTCTCTCCTTCGGGGCAGAAGGGCAGGCCTTGCTTACCCTGGCAGACCATCACATGGCTCCATCATTGTACTGCTGCTCAGTCTGGGACAAATGGGCTGGAACTGAAGGGATTCCAAGGGAAAGGAATTTTAACCAGAACATTTTAAAGCTTAGCCCAGTTCTGATGAGTATTTTGAAAGAAGCCTTTTTTCTTTTTCCTTTTTTTTTCCCCTAAATGCCAGTCTTCCAGAAAAGCTACAGGAAAAGTGATAGAACAGCAATATGGAATTTGTAACTACTAGAACTCCCCTCTTGCAGCCCTTTCTGAAGAAAGCAGCTGTGTCCCAATGAACACTGGCCATCCCCACTTCCTTGCAGATGTTCCATTTTCTCCTTGCCCCACAGCAGAGATGGGCAATGGGACAGGGTAGCATCCAACTGCTTTTCCAGAGTCACAGAATGGCTGAGGTTGGAGGGACCTTTGGAGGTTACCTGGTCCAAACACTCCACCCAAGGAGGGCCACCAAGAGTCACCTCTGAGGACCATGTCCAGCTTTTGGGCATCCAAGCACTGAGACTCTACAACCTCTGTGCCCAACACAGGATCCCCTTTAGTTCTGACCCCTCCTGTGGTCCAAAAACAAAGGCCAGTGGAATTTGGGGATTGACCTGTTGTCACTCTCATGGAAAGTGTTTTCTCTGCTCTTACCTATCATTTAACACCAGGTAGGCAGATTAGGGCAGAGGTAGTGCTGACTTGACAGGTTTTTTTCCCTCCTAAATTGAAGGTTGCAGAATTTCTGGGACTTCTGCTGCCCTAGGGTGTTTTATTCCCAAACTGCAATGTTCCCCTGCCCCTGGCAGGTTAGCAAAAGGATGTTATCTGGGAAAGCTGGTTCTGCTGTAAATTACCATCCAGTTGTTCTTCCTTTCACAGCTGCTCCTAAAACTTTTACCATTCCCTCTCCCTTTAGCTAGGTCTGGCTTTCTCTTCAGCCTTAAAGGTCTCCAGTGTGGCCAATTCTCTGTTTTCTGCCAGATGTGCCAAGGAATGTGTGGGTGCTGACACTTGTTCCTTTTCCTCAGCACTGTCAGACAGCTGTGGGGGCGCAGCTGGAGCTGGGCTCTTGCACTGCTGTGGGCCAGAATTTAAAGCAGTCATCTTTGCCACGGGGATGGCACCCACAGGCCTGGTACTGCCCAGCACAAAGCACAGAGTGGGCACTTTCTCTTCCTACCACTGTGGGAATTAGCTGACTCACAGGTGCAATTCTCTCTTCTTCCTGCACTGTGCACCCTTCTTAACCCCAAAGCAGTGCACTTGATTTAGTCATGTTCCTCATTAGTGTGGGCAGGGGTGAAGCTGAGCTAAGGGTCTGGGTCTTGGGGCTGCACCAAATTTAGGCAGTGGGAAAGGGGAATTGAAGGGAGCAGCGTTGCTGATGCAGAACACAGCAGGGAGAGAGAGAGAGAGGGAGAGAGAGAGAGAAAGAGAGGGGGGAGGGCTGTTCTTGGCCTCCTCAGGACATTTCTTCTGGGTGCCACTGGCCTTGTGTCTGTGAGACACAGCCATCTGCCAGGGTGCTACTGCAGGAGTTGTGGGGCACAGGGAACCAAACCCCACAGTGGAGACAGAGCAACCCCTCCCCATCAGGCAGAGGTGTGGGGTGTGCAGCCACAGAGCAATCCCAACCCTCGTGTCCTACCACTTACCTGAGGCAGGCTGTTCTTCTGGGGCATCCAGTGTGACAGGCACGAGTGACTCCAGAGGATGGTGGCTACAAAACCGTCAGGACACACTCAGCTCAGCCCTGCTGCTCATCAGGAGCTGGCAGGGAGACTGAAAGGCAGAGACTGCAGCACCTGTGGAAACCTCCCAGGGCACTGTCCAGCATGGCTGGGTGCTGGGGTTGTGCTGCAGATCCCTGGAGTGCAGAACAAAGCCCTCAGCCCATTCTCTGGAGGCAGGAAACAGGAGGATCTGGGACACTGACTTGTTTCTCACAGCTCCACGCTAAGCAATGTCTGTACCAAAGGAGGTCGTTCTTCCCCAAGTGTCTGTTGTGCACAGGAGGCGGAGCCTGCTCGGCTCCCATGGCACTGTTTGTATTGGTATTGAGGGCAGGAATGGATTGAAATGAAACACGTTAATCACCAATCACTCTTAGCAGAGTTGTCAACTGTTTTTTTGTTTTTTAATTGTTATTGTAATATATTTTGGTTGTTTTTCTAATTTAATTCTCTCACTATCGTCTGACTGTGAACTGCGAACAGTGTTAAACTTGATGTAAATAAGGCCCTTGAAAGGGCCTCTTTGCCTGTCGTTCCACAAAGTTTTGCCAATTTGCATTTTGTTTTAAATAAAGGTTGCAATATTTTATTGGCAAAAACCACCTGAGTAGACACTGTCTTGTTTTTTTCACTTAATCAATATTAAGTTGCTTCAGTGGTGTCTGCACAATAACTGAATGAAGAATAAGTGTTGCGTGACGTTTAAAAACAGGGTTTTCCTCAGTTCTCATGGTGTTACGTAGTTCATGTTACAAACTACTGCAAGGAACAAACTACTGCAAGGATGTTATCTTTGTAACAGGCAGGTAAAACCCTTCTATGCTTCATTGGTGTTTAGATGACACTTTCATAACTGAAAAGTTTTTCACTTTTAAGTGAAGTTTTTTTCACTTAATCAATATTCGAAGCTGCTCAGTCCTAACAAGAAGCTCATTCATTTGGGTAGAAGAAATCATTAAAAAGAGAATTTAATACCAGCAGGTTGCAAAAAAAGCAGTATTTTTATTTATGCAGTATCTGTTTAGAACCAAACCGTTGCCCTGGCCTGGTCAGAGAGCAGCTCTTGCTGATCAGAGCTCACCCAAATGTGACACACACACACACATCTGTGACCCAGCAAAGCACAGCTCTTGCCTCGCCCTCCTCAATGTCACCACCTCCCTCAGAGCTGCTCTGTGCCTGCCTCAGTCCCCACCACCCTCCTGCCACCCCAGCCTGTGGCAGCCTAACCCCGCTGAGCACTTCTTGACATTTATTAAAAGTCCCAGGTCATCCTGGCTGACACAACCTTTTGGCAACTAACCTTCAGCCAAGAGCTTGCTAAACTTTCTGCCCAGGTGACCAAACACAACCCCAGCTGTGTCCTGTGAAGCAGCAGCGTCCCTGCTCCTGCCCTGATGTTTCCCAGGTTTATGACACCTGAGATTAACCATAAACCAAGTCTCAGAAATGCCTGATCACACACGCTGGCACAGCCTGAAGATCCATTCCACTCAGCTGCACTGTGAGCAGTGGGAAAGCAGCTGGCTCATCTCTGCCTTGGACTATGAAGCCTGTTAGATAACGCAGCCAGCGTGCCCGCAGGGAAGCAGGACTCAAAGTCTGCAGGGCTCGGACGTGTCTGTCTGGTCAATCTTTCCCAGAGGTCGTGCTGCTCATCACTGGCACCACAAAATGGGTCAAAGCTTAAAATAGACCAAAGGTCCCCCTGTGGGGGTGGCTGGGAAGCCAAGCCCTGTCCTTGGCAGGTGCTGTTTCACTCCTGGCCAGCACAGCCCTGTTGGAAGGGAGTTTTGACCCAGAGGTCAGAGAGTGATTCCTGTAACACTGATGAAATTTTTTGGGAGCTGCTGCAACACGTTTATCACCTGGCAAGTACCCAGACAGCAAACAGCCCCTTGCAGTAATAATAATAATATTAATAATAATAATGTTGATAGTAGCTAAAAAAAACACACCATGAAATGTACTGAAGAGAAAAATGAAAAAAGGAAGGAAAAAAGTCAAGCTTTTACTGCATCCATGAAAATTCACATTCAGCTGCAGCTTGATGCTTCAGCCACCACCCTCCTCACCTGCACTTGGCCTTTGGCAGAGGAGCTCTCTCCCCTTTTTGGTTTTGCAGTGAAGGAAATGGGCTCTTCACCAACCCACTCAGAAAAATAATTGCAGCAGAAGATCCCCTCACCCCGGCAGCTGCTTCCATACAACGGAAGACTCCAGTGAGAGGTGGACACTCCAAGGTGAGAGCTTGGATCTGGCATCTCCAGAGGAGATTATTCAGTCCTTTTCTCCCTGCACAGACTATGATCCTGGCCCACGTGTCCCTGAGCACCAGACACCTTAGAAAGGCATGAGATCAATAGAGGGGAAAAACTCAACTCCAGCAAAACAGTTCTGGGTGTTCTTGTAAAGTGACAGAGAAAACTGGGGACAGGGACGTGGCTTTGGCCACACTGTCTCAACAGGACCAGCCTGTCCAAGGCCTCCCTCCACCACACAGCAACAAACCAAGGACTTGGACATTCCCAGTCCCCACTCACATGGAACAGCATCTGCCAGCAGAACCCCACCACCCCTTCAGGCTACTGCCAGCTAAAAGAAGGGATTTAAAACACCAGACAGACTCCAAATGCAGCCAAGCACAGGCTGTCCCCACATCCCAGGAGTAAGGGATGCACCTCCTTCACTGCAACAGCCCTGGGAGTAATGGGGGGGTTTAAATCTCTGTTAAGTCCCTGTGCAGTGCCTGGCTGGGCCATTTGTTTCTGACCCTGTGCAAAGAGAGCAGCTCCCAGAGTGCAGAAACACCAGTGCTCCCACCTGGTGTTCAAGGAAGGAAGTAATTGATGCGCTGGGGCACGGATTTGCAGCCCTGTGCAGAGAAAAGCTTCTCCTCTTTGGGGACAAAAACCATCATCTGGGCCACCTCATCCAGCGTTGCCTCGGTGTAGGGAAGCCCGCGGGCCAGGAAGGCGTCCCGTGCACAGAGCTTCACGTGCTGATACTCCAGAGGCAGGAAGGGCACCACGAAATCGATGAGGTTCTCTCTGAGGAGGTGGCTGTGGGCATAACTGTTCTCTGGAGCAGAACACAAGACAAGGCAAACTCAGGAGCTTCACCTGAGAGCATCATCCCTCTGTGAGTCCAGGCTTGGCTCTGAGGGGCTGGGACCCACTTGTGCACTCTGAGCACCGAGCATCTCTAGGAATCACACCAAGAGACACCTGGAGCCCCAGGGAAGCATCGGTACTGCCCTGTGACGTTGAGCTGCCTCTTGTCCCCAGCCACTTTCAGGGCTGAGGAGGGCCAGAAGGTCTCTTGGCTCCCTCCCCACCTGCCTTGGCTCACAGGGACCAAGGACGGGGCTCTCACTGTCAAACCCCCCGGCTGGGCTGGAGCGAGGTGCCTTGTTCCCCCAGGCACAGCCCTGCGTGGCACACGGTGGGTGGGATGGTGCAGAGGGGCAGCTTTGCAGACAGCCTGCCCAGAGCCCCCTGAGCAAGCCCAGCCCTTACCTGCAGCCTCCTGCAGCTCCAGCCGCAGCCGCTGCTCCAGCAGCTCCAAGGAGATCTCCTCCCGTGCCCGGCCGGCTCGCCAGAAGTCCAGGGCGACCTCATTGATGGTGTTGCCACCAAGATTGCTGCGGACACACAGGGAAGTCATTCAAGATTTCCCCCAGAGCTGAACCGCTGAGAGCTGCCAGCACCTTCCCTGCAGACAGGCCCCAGCATTTCTGTTGGCAACAGAGGATTTGCTGTCTAGGATCAGCACGTGGAGAGCCAGCCTTCTTCCCAAAGAGCCCCTTTCCATAGGCATCGATGCAGCTGTCTGCCATCCTGCCAGGTCAGACCCAGGGGCAGCAGACTCTTCCATCTCCCTCAGTCCCCTGTCCTGGCTTGGGAAGCCACTGACCCCACAGGTGACACTTTGCTCCACACCAAATGCTGAACAAGCCACCACAAAGTCCAGGTTAAAGGGCAGAGCACATGGCAGGAGTCCCACTGGAAGTAAAGGTCCAGGGCAGGGATTCAAGTGGCAGCCCAGGACATGGCAAAGCATCCTCTGCCCATGGGGCAAAGCAGCAGCACAGTTCCCACCTAAGGACTCCTCTGGACACCCATGGGGGCAGATCTGTGGTGGGATTTGCAAGGTCCTGGCAGCTGTTGAGGGTCCCAGGACAGCCTTTCGCCCTGGAAAGCATGTCCAGGAGAGGTGTCAGCCCCAAGTGCTGGTGAGGGGTTTGCCCCCAGCCCTGAATGCCCCAGTGAACTGGGAACCAGCTGGATGCAGAGCTTGTGTGGGTGGGAGGCACAGATCTTGCACCCCATCCTCATGTCACAGGCTCTGGGCCCCACATGGAAGGCAGGGAAAATTAAGAAGCCACCACTGTTTCCCACCATGCCCCCACCCCTTGTCAGGTAGAAAACAGCTTGTACTGATCCTGCTCCCAACCCAAACTCAGCAGAAACAGCTCCTTCTGACTGGACAGGCAGCCAGTCCTCCCCTGTCCCCAGCTCCCACACGTGGGCAAAGCTGCAGGACCGTGCCAGTGTCCACAGGAGCCCTGGGGCAGAGCCATCCCTCCTAAAGCAGGTCAGTGTCACACTGCCACCAGGAATGATGAAAGCCCTGGGATTACACACTGGTGCAGTTCAAGGCACCCTGCTCCCCTCTGCTTGCTGGCATGAGGGGTGGTGACACTGCCCATTCCTGACCTTCCTGGCTCGCCAGGCAGGACACAAGGTCAGCCCAGAGCAGCTGGCAGCACCTGCCCCTTCCACCACAGCTCCTTCCACTCAAGTGTAGAGTGTGGAGAGTTCCACAGGCACCAGGCACACAGAGAGGTCCTCCACAGGCAGGGAAACCTCTCTGAGGGAACCACCAAGCTTGGAGGTTGGAACACTTGCCTGGATGGTGGGAGGTGCAGGAGGAATGCTCTGCTCACCTCCAGCCAGTAGTAACTGCCAGAGCCAAGCTCAAGGCTGCGATTCCTAAACTGAAGAGGGCCCAAGATGCAGATCTCTCTCTCTTTAGGAGCACTTCAGTCAGGAGCCTGTCTCACATCCTGGTTTTTAGATGTCCCATTTCCTCCTCCAGCTGCATCCCACCCAGGGACAGCGCTGGGGTGCACATTGTGCCCAACTCCCGGGAAAGGAATCAACTAAACCAGGCTGTGCTGATGCCAGGATCAGCCTCAGTACCTCAGTCTGCAGCCACAGCCAGGCAGTGGGAACTTCCCACCAAGACCTTCAGCCCCAGCTTTCCTCCCTGGAGTGTGACATCACCTGCTCAGCTGGGCAGGGTGACACCACATTAACTAACTGCTTCCTTGCCTAAAAGTCTAGACACTGGCTCAGGTGTCCCAGCTCAGCTGGACCTCAGCTCCTCCTGCAAATGCCCTGTTCCCAGGGAGGATCCATAGGCAAAACTGAACATGGAGGAAAGCACCACGAGGGAACGAGGTTTCTGTGCCCTGCAGCCTCAGCCCTTTGTATCACACACCTCTGGGGATAAACACCATCACTTGGTTCCTCCCATCCCTTCAGGGGAACCAGAAATCACCTGAGGAAGAGGAAGATGGATCTCTGTGGATCTGCCTGGCCCTGGCTGTCGTGTTGAGCCATGAAGGGTTTGATGGCATCCAGGAGGCTGGAATGGAGCTTCTCGGCCTCGTCGAAGATGAGCAGGGCCTGCCCGCAGCGCTGCACGGTCTCGCCGATCTGCCTCTGCAGCTGGACCTGCAGCAGAGGGGAGGAGCGTCAGGAGCCCCTGGGATAATCCAGCCAAGCACCACAGCTGCTCCATCTCCTCCCATCCAGCGAGACAGGGCAGAGAACAGGAAGAGCAAAGGCAGGAAAACGAGTGAGGCGAGGTAAATTAGTTTAACAAGTGAAGGAAAGAGGAAAGAAATCAAGTGGTGCAAAGGCAGCCACTCACCCTGCTGCAAACAGACTGATGCCCAGCCAGTCTCTGAGCAATAGCTTCCTGCCCCCAAACCCCCTCCCTGCAGCTTTTATCCCTGAGCATGACAGTAAATGACATGGAATATCCCTTTGGCACTAGGGCTCAGCTCTTTGGTGTGTCCCAAACTTCCTGTACACCTCAGCCTGCTGACCCCAGGGGCTGAGTACGAGAGAGGGGAAGCCTTGAGGCTGTGCAAGCACTGCTCAGCAGTAACCAGGACAGCGCTGTGGGATCTGGTTTCACTCACAAACCCAAACCACAGCCCCACATGGGCTGCTGGGAAGGACATGAACTCCAGCCCAGCACCCAGGACCATCCCATGGTGGTGGCTCTCACCTTGTAGGAGTCCACGTAGTTGTGATGTGGGAAGTGGAGGAGGGAGACGAACACCCTGACACAGTCACTCTTCAGCCCGTCCCGGTACAGGTGATTGGCCATCATCCGAGCCACAAAGTTCTTCCCTGTGCCAGACCAGCCATGGAAGGACAGGACCAGAGCCTTCTGGGGCCGTGGGCTCTGCAGGAACCCCTGCACTGCCCGCACCACCACGTCCTTGGCCAAGTGCTGCCCGTGGAGCTGCCCACTGAGGTCTGCCTCCAGCCCTGCACAGAGAGAGCACGAGCTCAGCCTTCCACTGCCAGCACAGCTACTGCAGGTGTAAGAGGAGAAAACGTGGCAGGGCTGCCTGGCTGAGAGGACTCTGAAGTGACATAAAAGCCACAGGCTGCCTGTACCCTGCCTACATCAGCTTTTGGCCCCCAAAAGACACAAATCATCTGCTGGCTCCTTTTTTTTTCCTTTAGGAAGAGGCAGAGGTGTTTGGCAGCTGCAGAGAGCACCGATGCCCAAAGGCCCTCTAAGCTCCCAGCACAGGGTTTGCATACCAGGAGTCTCGGGGACAGTGAAACACAAAGACCCCAAATCATGGCTTACACACAGGTCTCATGTGTCCTCCCGACCTACAGCAGGGTCCTGGGTGGGTTTGGATCCCAGTGCACGTGCCTGGAAGCTATGGGCTGCAGGCAGGACTCATGGCAAGCTGGAGCAGATATGCTGTGCAGCAATGAACAAACCCTCCTTGGTCTCAGAACTTCAAATGGGACACAGGACTGAGCTCAGCCTCTCACTCTGCCACAGCTCAGCACCCCGCTCAGAAAAGCCCTTTACTAACATCACTTTCTAGGACACACTTTATCAGGAAAAAAAAGAGAAAAGCTCAAAGTAAGCCACACAAGCAGCGCAGCCCCCACCTGTGATGTTGTTGGTTATCCTGCAGTCTCCTGTCTCACAGCACTTGCCGAAGCTGCAGTACCAGGCAGAGAGGATCTCCAGGTAATCCTGGCCCACCAGAGGGAAGCCCCAGCCTGGAAACGGGAGCAGTCTGAGCAGAGAGGCTCCAGGAAAGAGGCTTTTTTACATTTTGAGTGGACGCTCAGCTGAGCCCTGTTTCGGGCAGCCCTCTCCCAGGTGCAGGGACCCAGCCATGCCCTGTCTGTGGGGAGGGGCACCGAGCTCGGGCCTGGTTCGAGATGGCTCCGAGCGCCCAAGGAGCTCAAGAGCACTCCCCTCATGCCGGGGCTCGCCAAGGGGCGATGCCCGGGGCCGCGACCCTCGGGAAGGAGCGGCGGGCACAGCAAGGTCCGGACTTGCTGCTGCCTCCTGGCCTCGGGAGAGGGAGAGAACAGAGCAAGGAGCTCACCTGGGATGGGGCCGGCCTCTCGTTCTCGCTGCTTCTCCTCCTCCTCGCAGCCCTCCTGCCACACCTTGCACGCCAGGTACCGCCAGTACTGCCTGGAGAGAGCGCCCACAGCTCCCAAATGCTGCTTCACGGCTTCGTACCTCACCCTGCCCCACGGTCCCCGCTCCGGGACGGGTCCCTGCTCCTCTGCCCAGGGCTCCCGGGGCGGTGGCCTCGTCCCGGGGCTGCCCGAGCCGCCCAGGAGCAGCAGCAGCACCAGGACACAGCGGCCGAGCCCGCCGGGCCTGCCCCGGCCCATGGCGGAGCTGAGGGCTCCAGGGGGCTCCGGGGACTGAGGGCCCCGGCCCGGCTCCGCTGGGCCCGAGCTGATCGCGCCTCCCGGGGCGGTGCTGGGCAGCAGCGGCCGGCCCCGGCCAGACGTGGCTTCCTTGTCGCCGTCCCAGCCACGGGGACGCGACCAAACCCAAGCCCGAGGCCGAGCAGAGGCTCCGGCCCCGCCCCGGGCCCGGCCAGCTCTGGCTGGGAGGGGAAGGAGCTGGAGCGATGCCCGGGGAGGCTCCCGGAGCACCGGGGCCAGATAAATAATCTGGTTTTTTTTTAAGTAGCCTAGCGGCTCGGCTGAAGTTTTGCAGGCACAGAGGTGAGAGCAAATGGCAGCTGCTCCTCCGCGTCCTTTCAAAGGGGACACAAAAATAAGAGGCAGAAACAAGGGAGCAGCGGGTGAGTCAGCACGGCTGTGTTTGCTGCCTGCTATCACCGTATCCCAACTGAGAGCAAGGCCAAAATGCTTTGGGAGTGGAAAAAATTTCAAGGTTATTCCACATGCTTGGAAAAATAAAAGCAAGAAGGATCATAAATAGAATTAATCCAGCCTGGTAATTCCCTGAGGCAGGTGGATGGCAGGGGGGATGCAGCCCAGGCATGGAGCAGAGTGCATCACCATCTACAGACGCCTGTAAATATTACACAACAGCATTCAGCACACTGGGCTAACAAAACAGCCCCTTCCAGCTACAAAAACAGCGAGGCTGAAACCTGAACACCACTTGCAACAACTTCAACAGAACTAAAAATAGTGCATTAAAGAAACAAATTAAAAATCAAACTTGCTGTAGCTAAACTGCTGTCAGCCTTTCTGAAAACCAGTTGAGACACTTGAAGCATTTATTCAGATTTATAAAAAATTTAATAGCTGGAACATTCAAACTTTGTCCACCCAGGATAAATTGCTCTAGCTGAAAAGGGCTTCTTAAAAGGGGCAGATGTTGTAAAATATAGATGTTGTAAAAAATAGATTACTTACATGTTCCAGAGGAAAAAAGAAAATTCTGAAGGATAAACTGACCAGCTCTTGGGATGGTTTCATGATTTCTGGGATGTCAGCCCTGCCCAAGTGCAGCACATAGTAAGAGTCAGAAGGAAAAACAGTTCTTTAGGAGGCCCTGGCACAGGTTACCCAGAGGAACTGTGGCTGCCCCAGCCCTGGAAGTGTCCAAGGCCAGGTTGGATGGGGCTTGGAGCACCCTGGGATAGTGGAAGCTGTCCCTGCCCATGGCAGAGGTTTTGGAACAAGATGATCTTCAAGCTCCCTTCCAACCCCAGTCATTCTGGGATTCTGTCAAGGGGGGTTAGGAAGCCCATGGGTTTTTTCCTTCCTCTGCTGAAACCCAAAGTGCAGTTTGCTAATCTTGAGGTGAGTCTCTCTGGAGGCCTGCACAGCCCTGGAGTTGATGGGAGGATGCTCAGCTTGTCACTCATGGCTGGTTATTCCAAGCAGTCGGTCCCAGTGAGCAGCAATACCCAATTAAGACTCCACCACCTCAGCTGAGATGCTGTCTGAAGAGAAGACAGCACCAAAAGAAATGGTTATGCCTGGCTTATTCCACACCCCAAAGCAGCTTGGGACAAGCAAACATTCAGAGGGAACCTCATAATCCAGAATTTAATTTACAGGCTGTCCAGGGAAATGCCATGCACCCATCTTTTAGGTTTTTTCTCCATTTCCATACAGGAATTTCTTCTGCACATCCATCTCAGCACTCTGACAGAAGGCAGGGAGAGAAGAGCCTCTCTCCAGAGCTCAATATAACACAGCTACAGATTAGACCACTACATAAAAGAAAGATCTAGAATAAACAGTATGAGAGGAGTCCTTTCCCCTCCTTCCTTTTTTCCCCACAAAGTCCTATATATTACCCAGCCTTTTAAAAAGATTGAGATTCTACAAAGAACAAATCACCAGTCCCACACCTGGGATATATGAACTGAGGACTTCTATTCCTAATTTTTAGATTCAATAAAAAGATTGTAGGTAAAGGATTTGAGGACCTCAGGGAAAGTGCTGATTTTCAGCCCCCTTTGGTTTTCCATTGGCTCAGAGTTGTTTGTGTTCATTCTTTTGTAGAAGTGCATTCATTACATAATCCAAAACACTAAAATCTCCCAGTTATACAAATTTGCACTCTGTTACTATGGCCAACCACTCCAAAAATACAAAGCAGCAGCACAACAAAGTGCTTGGAACAACAGCTCTCAAACTGCCAGTTTCTGCCTGTCAGAACTTAAAAGCATCTCTAGCTCTTGAACTGTTCATACACAAGCAAGAATCCTGTCCCACTCCCTGAGCAAATTGGCACCTCAAAAATAGAGATGGAGGAAAGGAAAAGTTACTGTCAGCACACAATGCTAGGAAACAAAAAACCCCAGAACATCCTCCCCCAGTAATCCCTCAAAATAAACCCCAGAAAGCAGCTCATACAGAATTCAACAATGCTGAAATCCGAAGTTGCAAGTGAGAAACTAGTTTAAAGAAAAGCAGGTTTCACGCCACCAGTTCATGCTACAGAGCAGGTCAAAGATCCCTGAAATCAGAAGTGCTTCACTCCCTGCATTTGAAACAAGTTGGGGCATTAAGAAAAACTCCTCTGCAGGCTGAGTAAAGCTCTGCTCTCAGGGGGAGCAGTGACCTGCCCCCCCAGTAAAAGCTTAGCCACAAACACCTGCCAGCTCTAGAGAGCTTCCCACAAGCCAGTGTCCATCCCTGGCTCCATGGAAGCAGCTCCTGGGACACTGCCAGGGGCTCAGCCCACGTGCTCAGCAGAGGCAGGGCCATGGGATGCACGGGCAGAAAACCACTTCAATCTAGGTGTGTTTTATTTCTGTATTCCTTTGGGAAACTCTCCTAATCAACAAGGCTCTGGCAAAGAAGCTGCACGTTTTGGACATACACGAGTGGAGAAAATGCCGCTGACAACCATTAGCAGAGGAGTAACTGGGAGACAGCAGCAGCAAAACACTTCACACATTCAGCCCACCACATGTTGGAACGTGAGACAGACAAGGGAGGGAGAAAGAGACTTAGGCAATCTATTGATGTTGCTTTATTAAAATCTTTATTCACACAATGTTGCTTTATGTGGGATCTGACCCCAGGGGATAGGAGTAGAAAGTCATGATTGCATTCCATTTGCTTATTAGCAACTCCATTTGTGCAGCAGCTCCCAGGGGCCTCCTCTGGCATATCCGAGAGGGGGATCTGTTTCCAGCATCTTGCTCCAGCTGCTGCAGTAAATAAATTACCTTCTTAATAAATTAGTACTTTTGAGTTGAAGTTTGTTTGGCAAGACACACTCCAGTTCATCAGCTGCTGAAGAGGAGCTGACTCAAGTGTGTCCTCCCCCTGATGGCTGACTTGGGAAGGAGGAGGTAAATAGCAGATGGCTGATGAGGCTCTTTAATTAGTTCTTGATTTCTGTGCTTCCAGTGCTCTGATATCATTGATAACCACGACACAACCAGTGTGTAACATCTGGGGCCAGCGGGGAACATGTGCACAGTGAACAAGAATCAGAAGGTGTCTCCAAAACCTCCTGGACAGAGCACCTGCCTTGCAAACAATGTTATTTTTCAGAGATTCAAGCAGACCCTGTTGGCACCCGGATGCTGCTCCTCATTTGCTTTGCAATGGTTACAATTTAAAATTTCATGGGGTTCTGTGTTCAAGCAAAACCATCATCACTGCCAAAAGGGCAGAAACTGTCACAAGGCCAAAACCAGATCTTCCTGATTTTGGTTTAAGAGAGATTTATTTTGGTTTAAGAGAGGAATTTATTTTTCTTTCCTGCTGCAGAACACCAACCTCCACTAGTGTTTATAGCAACCAGAAGCATCAATATCACAAATAAAAAAACCAACCCCAAAAAACAACCGTTTCTTGTTTCCTTCTACTGATAATGCTGGACTTCATGCCCTTTGTCCACAAGTAAACCAAAATAAACCAATACCCTGCTTTAAATCTTTGATATTTATACTGGGGAAAAACTTATCTCCAGGTTCCACCTGACAGCAAAAGCTTTAGCTTAAAACAATATGTAAGTCCTCAACACTAATTTAATTTTGAAGACTGAAAGACATTTTTTTGAACCCATTGTTAAATCAAATGTAAATACCAAGAGTGATCACATAGAAATCAGAAATTAAATTTTGGTAGATCCCTCCCAAAATATTAAGAACTCATGATTAAGCTCAAAGAGAAGAATACGCTTTTTGAAATGCTCCAAGCCACGAACCATGTGTTTCACCATCTTCCCTTTGGGTAAATCATCTGAAATTTCCTGGGAAACAGCTTAAAATAGCACTTGCTCCTGCCCCACAGGCACCACCCACAGCTTCTAAAGTGTGTTCTGTTATCAGGTGATAGAGGTATGAGCTTCACAGTGTCCTCAAAGCTGGCTGTGTGTCACCATCCTGACTAAGAACTCCAGTAAATAACTCCAGGTCCCATCCCATCATCTCATTGCTCTGGGGCGCATCTGTGATTGTGGCCAAGTCCAGAAGAGAGCAAGAATAACATAAAATTCCACCTCAGGTAAGCAGTCACATTCTACTTTCAAGATACTCTGCTCATGCAATGAGAAAAAGACTTCAGCAAAATAAACTAAAACCTGCATTTTTCAGGTAAACTGTCTCCCTGGCACCTCCCAGATCAGGTGCAGCCAAGGTGCAAGAACAGGAGACAGCTCTTTACCTGCCTGCCACACTGCAGTTAGAGAAATCCTGACAGGAAAATCAAGGAAAAAGGCTCAAACTGACAATTTGGTGCTCTTGCTCTCAAGTCCAGTAACCTGTAATCACTTGGAGAAGGGAGCTCTTTCCTTACATTAAGGACCATGCTGGCTTGAACACTGATGCAAAGCTGTTTGGAAATAGTGATGAAGCTGCTTCTCTTCTGGAGACACAAACTGAGACCTGCCCCAAGGTGATCGGTTTTATGACACAAACTCATTGGCAGCACAGGTGCTGAAGGACAACAGGACTAGCACAAGATGAGTGCTGCAAACCTGCCCTGAAAAAACTACTTTTCTCTAGGGCAAAACCATTCATGAGGACTCCAGGATGACCATCCCAGGCAGAACATCGCAGTGGGGGCTGCAGGAAGCAGCTGGGGAAGGCAGAAAACCTCCTTGAAGTGGTCACAGCTTCTGA